AAAAAAAAAACAAATTTAACCCTTTTTAAATTAGCCTATCTTCTTCCCAGATTTATAATCTACACAGAAAAATTCATCTATATAAAAATGGAGCGTGAAAAATGTATTTTACCTCATCAATTGAGAACGGCTGTTTTTTTTTTATTGACAAAAAATAATAATACAATTAAACAAACATACCCGTAACCAATAGCCAGCAATATACTATACACTATTATTATTTTAATCTGAAACTAAATTGTTTATTATTTAGTAAATTATAAATAACATTCAGATTTTCTACTTTTCCGGGAGATTTTCCTAAAATTTTCTTTCGTATCAACCTTCTCCTGGCAATTACGAACATCTCAAAAAAAATTTGAGCCAAATCGGACCAGCTCGAGTTTTAGAGAGACTAACGAACAGCAATTCACATTTTTATATTTATAATTTATACAGGGTCCGTCAGAACAAACGCATGTTTTTCGAAATAATACTACGCTAAAAGTAATTTCTTTAAAATAATTTTTATTTCATCAAAAAATGTAGAAACATATGCAATTTTTTTTTACTGTAACAAAATTTAGGTTTTAAAAATAATGTCAGTCATATGGCGCCCTTGAGCCGCAATGCAGGAATGCAGGCGCTCCCGAAACGAGTCCATCGCGTCGGTCAGCATCTGTCCCGGAACTTCACCCACAACTCGTGTGATCTCGTTCTTCAATTCATCTAGGGTTTGTGGCTTGTATTGATAGACTTTTGATTTTAAGTGACCCCACAAAAAAAAATCACACAATGACAAGTCAGGGGAGCGAGGGGGCCACGGAACGTCACCAAAGCGTGAAATGAGACGTCCGGGGAATTTTTGGCGAAGAACCTCCATTGAGGCACGAGCTGTGTGTGATGTTGCCCCGTCTTGTTGAAACCACACTTTTCTAATACTGACACGTCGTCGTTGAAGCTCAGGAAAAAAAAATTGGGTCAGCATTTCGATGTAACGTTCTGAATTTACAGTGGTCGTTTGTCCGTTGTCCTCGAAAAAATAAGGGCCAATAATTTGCGTTGCACCTATTGCACACCAAACTGTGACTTTTGGAGTATGCAGAGGTTCCTCATGCAACTGTTGTGGATTTACTGGGGACCAGTAGCGACAATTTTGCTTATTCACATAACCATTTAAGTGGAAATGAGCCTCGTCACTCATGAACAAAACCATGTTGTCATTATTGTCAATAATTTCAATCATGAGCTGAGAAAAATTAATACGCTGTTGGTAATCACCGGCCAATAATTGATGGCAAACTTGGATTTTATAGGGATGAAACGCTAAATCAATTTTTAAAATTCGACGTACATTTGATTCGTTGATCCCAAGAGCAAACGGACAGAACGATTGGGGCTCCGTAATGTATCCAACCTTACTCTGTCCACGTTTTCGGGTGTTCTAATAGCCCGATTTCGTCCGTTAGTTCTTTTCATCAACACCGTACCTGTTGTGTTGAACGCTGTGACCCATCTCAAAATGGTATTACGGTCAGGAATCGTTCCATGACGCGGAATATCAAAGTTAGTTCGAAAATCTCGCTGTGTTTGAATGATAGATTCACCATTTTCGAAGTACCGCCGTACTGCGAACACTCGTTGTTGCACACTCCACACCATGATGACAACTAAAACTGCACGTTATCAGCTTTACAACGAGCCGTCTCTCACACCGATTAGATTTCCCCACTTGAAGTATTAATAACTTTAAAAACATGCGTTTGTTCTGACGGACCCTGTATAGATAAGAGACTTAAAAAAAAAACATGGTAGACGTGATTGAGAAGTAACCCACTAGTGACTCTTTGCCTGAGGGGTAAAAAAAGAACTTAATACTAAAATTATAGGAACCATTCTAGTTTAGCAACCTATCGATTTTTAAGTTTTTTTTTTTCCAAAATGTGTGTCTTGGGGTTCTTAATAAGAATGTAAAAAAAAAAAAGGTCGGACGGACTTAGTTTTGAAGTTATCGGTGAAAAACTTCAAAAAGTAGATTTTTTTCAAAAAGCGAATTTTTTTCAAATAAATGCTTAGAATTGATTTTTTTCGACATTTTTTCATTGATCAGAACTTACCTCGCGTACTTACTTTTGAAGTTTTTGCACATAAACAATGAAAAATGGGATTTTTAAAATTAATCAAAAATTTCTTTGAAAACTTGTTTACAATCAATATTTTTTATATTTTTTTTTTTCTACATACAGTTCCAGATGAAAAAGTTTTTAGTGAAGTCAGAAATAGTTTATCTCACTTAGTTTCAGAGTTAGAGACTTTTTATAAAAGGTTTCCTAATTTATGACGTTTCGCAAAAATCTAATACAGGTAAATAGGTAGGTACAATTTTTCCAAAATAGCATCATTAAAAGCAGAAAACACAAACCCATATTAAATTGATAATTAGTTAAAATATAAATAAATATAATATAAAATTATAATTTATTATTAGACAAGATAAAATAATCATATTAACTACTTAAATAGAAATGTATAAATAATTTTCACAAAATAACCGTTTCTTAATATATCTGTAGACGTAGATACTCTACATAGGCTAATAATAATAAAAAAATTTAAAAAAATCATCTTCCTCAGTATCTGAATCCGATTCTGCATTATCCTCTGTCATCGTTTCTTGATCTAAAATTGATCCATTTGGATTATAAACTTGTGCTGCAAGTTTAAAAAATTCAACCAAAGGGTTTAGAGTTGATGCAGGCAATCCTTTAAAAACATACATTTGGCCAAATAACCAGCGTAAAAATGTTTTTTCCTCGAATACTGAGTCATCGAAGCTTTTGCATGACGCCACATTCCTTCAATATTATTAATATGACCTCCTGTTTCCGGGTTTTTAAATTCTATCGAATGATTTACTGTCAAATGACTATATCCCTCATCTTTTAAACAATCATAACTCTAAAAAGATTGAAGTAATTGAAATTTAATACTTTTGAGTTAAACCAATGAAAGCACGAACTTACAAACAAACAACAATCACTAATTATTAGTGTTCCCGGTGAAATCTAGTCCTTTATGACTGTCAACAATGTTTCCTTGTCACGATTCTCCAACGGTACGAGAAAACAACGACCCGTTCCACGCTCAACTCCACCAAATACCCACTGGCCTTCAACGCGATGTCCCCTGTGGTATTTTCGCCTCCCAAATTTTGATTCATCAATCTCAAAAATTTTCCCAGTACCACCTACATACGAAATATTTTTAAGAACAATGCACTTAAAATTGTCTCACAGTGTGATGTTTTAGTTTTAAAAATTTTAAATTTTGAGTACAATGCGCGTGTTATGGAGAGTGACTACTTGCGTGTTTCGGCTCTCGGCGCGATCGCTTCACTCCGCAAATCGAAAATATCCCTCGACTTGCTATGAAAAACCACCTCAAGTAGGTAACATAGTCAACAAAAATGTTAATATGTAATAAACTAATAATTAAACAAAATTAATAAAAATTGCAAGCAATGAGCCTGGTATTCGCCTGGTATATATGACACTAAGATAGGTAGGTACTATATAATATGACTGTTTAAACTAAATTAAGTAAATAATCTTTTACTTACCGATTTTTTGGTGTCGTAGTATCATTCCATCAAATACCACTTCTCGGTGGAATGACGCCCAATCAACAGATGATTGTCGAGCAATATCAATTTGGTTTCGAATAAATTCGAGGGACACTTTTTCGGTCCATAAATATGCAAATGTCACAATTTGATAAATGGACAAGTGCGATTTTGAAAAAAGTGTTTTTTCTAATCGACTGGTAAAAATCGCACTTTACTTTTTTTATTTGCTATTCGTATACGACTGTTTGCATCGCCAAACAAAACCATCACAATACGCTGTACTAGTACATAATACTAAAAAGTGGCCTTTATTACATTTAATTACATTATTATTTGCAATAAGGTCTGTAAAATCCTTATAACCGGTGTAACAGGCTATATTTACCCCCGGTAATATTTACCCCCTCCCGGTAAATATATCCTATGTTATAGTTACCGGGGGTAAATATATCCTAGGATATTTTTAAATCCCCTGGGGGGTAAATATATACTAGGATATTTTTAAATCCCCTGGGGGGTAAATATATACTAGGATATTTTTACCGCCGGTAAAATAACACTGGGATATTTTTACCTCCCAGGTGAATATATACCAGGATATAGTTACCCCCGGTAAAAATGAAGCGCCAGGGGGGGGAGGGGTATAAATATCCTAGGATATAGTTACCCCCCGGTAAAAATGTCTTGTTAGGGGGGGTATAAATATCCTAGGATATAGTTACCCCCCGGTAAAAATGTAGCGCTAGGGGGGGTATAAATATCCTAGGATATAGTTACCCCCCCGATAAAAATTTAGCTCCATGGGGTATAAATATCCTAGGATAAATTACCTCCCAATAAACTGTCATGTTAAGGTATACTTGTGGGGGGGGGGGGGTTTCCAAAACAAAAAGAAAAATTAAGGAAAAACGGGAATTTTTACGCAAAATCTGTTTTCGATAAAATCGATTTTGGTTTTTAGTGTAACTCTAAAACAAATTACCGTAGATATACTCATTTTGAGCTGTTTACATGGGTGTTGACCAGTGGCCCCCCACGGTTGTTATCGGGATTTTAAAAATATACCAGTTGCCCTCAACCAAATGTACCAGTTGCCCCCAACTGAATGTACCTGTTGCCCTAAGTAGTTTGGGGGGAATCGGTATAAAAAAGGTACTTTTGGGGGCAACTGGTACATGCCCGTTTACATATTTTTTATCCTTATCATTCTCATTTATATGATTTTGAAACTTTTCATTTTTTGTATCTCATTGAATAATCAACGGATCGATACGATTCCAAGATTGAATTATACAACAATAAATATTAAATAATTGTGTACAAAAAAAAAACATTTAAAAAAAGGGGATTTTGTAACTTTTCATTCTGAGACGATAGTATAATACTGTACATTTTATTTTAAATTGTATAATTAAATTTTTTATGAATATCTTCACTATTATTTATTTGAATATCAAGAAGTGTCTTGATTACTTCTCCACCATCTACATTACTCCCTCTTGGTGGTTTTATCAAAGAGTAACACGAGAGTAACCGATATATTTGGACAAATTGTTTAGGATCTGGATGTTGATTTGACCCACATGCTTGCCGTACAATACCAAAGAAATGCTTAACAAATAACAAGTAAATATTAACTAAATATGATAATATTATATAAAAGTGATGTGTGTACAAATATATGGTGTACCTGAAGGTATTAGGCATTAAGTATACAATATATTTAGTACATAACCCAACCTACCTCTAATTTATCTTGATTAATTCTTTTTGTCATAAGATATTTATAGCCCACTTTTTCACTAAGATAATCTATTAGTTCTAATGTACTCTTTATAGTAACAATTAGTCCTCTTTCACTCTGGCTTGTAAAACGGAATCTTGGCTTTTTAGTTCCCATGCTTCCAGGTAATCAATGAAATCCCTGAGAACCTATAAAGTGAACGTATTAATTTATTTTACCGTTGGACACAAAGTTAAAAACATACTTTATTGCTATGTGATTTTGGGTCAGCTTGCAGACCATATTTTTCTGTGTTTGAATTCATAGCATCAACCAAATTATTAATTTTTCTGATAAAATGTATTGTTGGTCTACAATTCATAAATTTTGTTTCACCTCTATTCATCAACTCTTCCATGCAATCAGCTACTGTTTTACTGAAAAACTAATTTATAAAATAAAATATATAGGTGTGTATTATAATATTATAATTTAAATGCTAAAACTTCAATCACAGAAAGCTATACACTAACAAGTTACATAATTAATCATTTTCAAATTCTTTAACATTTAGCTATTAATTTAACTTTTTAAGTAAGGTTAGATACTTTTTCCCATTTTAACTTCCTTAATTTAATAAATAATAATAATAAGTTACTTTAACTTCACCAGCCAAAATATTCTCTTAACTGTCTCAGTTTTTTTTATAAATGTTACTTACTACCATAGCCATTTTAACATTCATCTTTTGAAAATGCTGTGGATACAGATGATAATTTGTTAATTTATAACATAATTTTATATGTTTTAACTCATCGTGTTCAACTAAATACTTCCAATGATCAAATTGTACTAATCCATCAGGTGTCTAAATAAAATGTATACAATGTAATATGAAATATACAATTATATATTATGTTACTTGTAATTGCCGTCTGACGTCAATATGTTAAAATGATTAAAAAAAATATCATTTTTTTACCACAAGTGTTTTGTTTTTTAAGACTCTTGTCCACATTGTTTTAACCAAGTGTGGAAAATCTGATGTAAACCATAGTTTTCTTTCAGGATCTGATGGATGTTGACAGAAAACATTTGTGTTGGTAATACCAAACGAATTCCACATGCCTCTATTCCATGGGCCACCATCAGTAACAACATTATGCACTTGAAATCCAGATTTTTCTAATAATAATATCGCTTCAACTATAAGTTTTTCAAGAACTTTATTTGGAGCAGCCCCTTTACTCAAAAACGCTCCGATTGTTTGTATCCATGCCCCTTGATATGGCTGATACATAAATACCAAGGCATGGTCACCCATTTCGTTTTTTTGGTGTTCAGGAGTATATATGCCAAGATCAACCAGTCCATCGACACATAAAGTTGATTTATTGAAATGAACAGAAGGAGAAAGAGACATTTCGTCTAAAAGTAAACATCCTAAAAATCATCATTAATTCAATGTAAATAAAAAGTACTTTACATTTTATTTTAGCAATGATTACCATGGCGTTCAACTGCTGGAATTTGTGAAGCTTTCTCTTCTAGCATTTGGAACGTACTTTGTTGGAATCCATATGTTGGCTTTAATTTCTGTATGTAATGCCGTAGTGTGTTAGGTGTGGGAAGTGGTAAAATTTTTTCTGTACACATTTTATGATAAAGTGCTGGACTCTTTATTTTCATTAATATACATTCATATACCCAATTATGTGTATATCTTATTCCATGCTTGGATTGAGCTAAACATGCTTTAAAACACATTTTTATTACTTGTTGTTGTTTTAGTGGCATTGTTTTAATCATATTGTCAACTGTCTCTTCTTTTAATTTTGAAAATTCATTTTTTAAACTTAGAATACTCGATTTCATTATTTTCACCTATTAAATAATATGCATAAGATGTATTTTTCTAATTATAAAACCTAATTATTACATATTATATTTTACAAAATGTGAACCTTATGAGAAAGTCTACGTGCTTGTTGAGTTCTTCTATAAGTTAACTTCATCGTTGAAGGTTTTGTTAAAAATATATCTTTGTTTTTAGTTACATTTTTTTTGAGATTTGAACAATGTCTGCATCGGACTTTCCTCCCTTCAATGTAAAGAAGACATTTAGGAGACCAATGAACCGACTTAATTGAATTGTATCCAGGACATATTTTTGTTTTTTCAATATTTATAAGTAATTTCTCTACATCACTACGAGTATTAAAATAATATTCATTGTTTGTATCTTTACCTCTAATAAATACCTAAGTAATAATGTGATTAATTAATAAATTAGTTTTAATAATTCTTCAAGTATTTATTTATTATACCTTTGCTTTAGTAGAAGAAATAACCTTAAGACATTTATCTATTAAAATATCTTCAACATGTGTAAAAATTAATTGTTGACACCATCACTATGGAAACCCCACATTGTGCCTGGTAATTTAACATTTTTAGCATCCTGATAAATATTGTACTCTATAATTTCAGGTACATTTAAATGAGCATCGAAGTATGATCGAGATTTAAATGCTGCAGAGTTGTATTCTGAAATTGAGAATTTCAAATATCAGGCTCCATTATTATAATGACAAAATTTGAGAATGCAACTCAGTTAGATATTCTAAAGCATATTCATCAGTACTATTTAAAAGATTTATATCCGAATTTAGAGGTAGCACTACGGATATTTTTTAACAATTCCTGTCACTACGGCTTCTTGTGAAAGGAGTTTCAGCAAGCTGAAAATCATAAAAAATTATCTAAGATCAACAATAAGTCAAAATCGTCTCACCGGAATGGCTATATTATCTATAGAAAAAGATATAGTGAAGGCAATTTCATTTGATGATGTCATTGATCAATTTGCTTCAATTAAATCAAGAAAAGTACCTTTGTAATATTGTGTAAAAATTAAATAAAAATAAATTAAAAATTATTAAACACAATAGTTGTATGTTATTAGGTATTATTACTTGATATATATGTATGTGTTTTTACATGTTTTATATATCTCAAATGTTTTTATAAACTAATGTATATTTTTAATTTGGAGGAGGGGGAGGGGGCGCAAATGCAGTGATTCGCCAGGGGCGCCACCAAACCGCAATACGGCCCTGTTTATCTAATTAATAACTTAAAAGGTTTCATGAAGATTAAAATGTTGCTATACATATAACAAAATGTCTATTATTATCTTCTTGGGGATAAATAATTGTACCAATCCTTATTATTTTAATATAATTTTTAATTACACATTAAATAGGTGTGTTAAATTACTATATTTCTTCAAATGTGTCCATATATATTTATATACATATATGGTATAACAGTGTTTAATTGCAATTAAAATAATTAAAACAAAAATATGTATATGCTACATTACATCATCGTGTTGTAAATAAATCAATTTAAGATAATTAAAATAATATTCAGGTATAAGTAGGTAATTTTATATTTTAAATGTGCCTAGCCCCTTAGCATAAAATAAACGCGTATTTATTTTGTCTTGTTAGTTAATGATGAAATGTTATTTTTAATATTACTTTTCCTTACTTACATTTTATAATATATACGGTTACTTACATACATACATAATATTATTATTACATTATTATTAGACCCTTAATTTTGCTCTCCATTCCTAAACATTTGTAAATTATTTTAATTATTACACCTTGTGTAAAGATGTCCTATAATAATATAGAAAAATCAGATATGTTGACATGTTACATGGAATCAGGAAAAAACGCTAGAGCTGCAGCAAGGTAAACAAAGCTACATTTTTCATCAAACGACAAGGCTCTTGACAGACAAATGATTTTATTTTTTAGGTTATACAACACTCGCTATGAAGATCGCCAACAACCTCATTTTACCTATTTTAGAAAACTTTTGAAAAAACTTGAAACATATGGTTCACTTGTTAGTAAATCTCGTGCACGAGCTAGGACAGTCACAAACGAAAATAATTCCTTTGCGATATTAGCTTCGTTTTATGAGAATCCTTATACTTCATTAAGATCAATATCTGGTAATAAATTTGTTTTTAATGGTTGTTTCTTCACATTATTTTCAATTTTATAATTTTTTACTTTATAAAATTACCATTGTAATTAGCAGCCCTGTTTACTTGAAAAATAGAATATGAATATAAAATTACGAAATATAATCAACACATTTGATATAGGTACATAATTATACTATGGTTTTATTTAACAATACATCAAAGAATCAAAGTATATCAAAGAATTTTTACATTTTACTTTTGCAATAACATTATACATCAAGGTTCTACTTTTACTTATAACCCAACTTAAAAATGTGTTTCTACAAATACTGTACATTACAATTATTATTAATTCAAAAGTATATCTAAAAACCTTCAATTTTAACAAAATAAAGATATTTTCTAGGAATTAAAAGTTAAAAATGTAATATTAATATTTTAGAATATCTGGATATACCATATACATCAGTGTAACGTGTGGCAAAGCGTTATAAGTATCATCCTTACAAAAGTGTGAAGGTTCAGCAGTTGCTGTCCCATGATTTTGAGAGACGATTAAGTTTTGTTGCTCAAATGATTATTAAATTGGATGATGATCCAACTATACTTACAAACATTTTATGGACTGACGAAGCCAGATTTCACAATAATGGCCAAGTTAATCACCATAACCAGCATTATTGGAGTGACATTAATCCTAACTGGGCTTTGGAAAGTAATGTCCAAACTCGTTGGTCAATTAATGTTTGGTGTGGCATTATTGACGAATATTTAGTTGGACCTTATTTCTATGAGGGAAATCTCAATGGTAATAAGTATTTAAATTTTTTGAAAAATGAACTACCACTTTTATTAGAAGACTTGCCTCTTTCTAAAAGAAAATATATATTTTGGCAACAAGATGGTGCTCCGGCCCATAACTGCCGGCAGGTTCAGGACTATTTAAACAACATTTACGGAGGTAATTATCATTATCATCATATTTTGTTTGATTGCTACTCATAAAAATTTTAATATTATACATATAATATTTAAAGTTACACAATTTTCTTCTCATTTATATTCATATAGGTTCATTCATTCATTTACATTAACCCAATATGTTATGGATACACTTTACCTATACAAATAAGTATTACATTTAATTTAAATTTTATTTTTAAGATAACTGGATGGGTACCCGGAGTCCAGAAATTCAATGGCCAGCACGTAGTTCAGACATGACACCTTTGGACTTTTTCTTTTGGGGATTTGTGAAGAATGCTGTCTATGATTTAATGCCATCCATTAAAAATGAGCTGATAAAAAAAATTAAAGAAGTCTGTTCAAATATACCAGCTAATATTTTGAAAAAATGTTCGACTGATAATGTTTTAAAACGTATGACATTTTTTTTGTCACAAAATGGACAGCACTTTGAACATATATTAAAAAAAAATATTAAATAAACCAAGACTAATGTAGTTGGGTCTTCATAAATTCTTTCTTTCAAATCCTTGTTTATTTATATGGTCTTGGACTCTTGGTACCTAGTGGTCCATATATTAATAATTTTTTGTTATATTTCTATTATCTTTTGTATGGCTTTCAAGATGTTTCTATTATTGTTTATATGATATATCCCTAGATGAAACATGTACACCATGTAATGCCATCCAGTAAAAATGAGCTGATAAAAAAAATTACAGAAGTCTGTTCAAATATGTATACCAGCTGATATTATGAAAAAATGTACTACTGAAAATGTCTTAAAACGTATGACATTTTGTATGTCACAAAATGGTCAACATTTTGAACACATATTAAAAATAAATAAACCAAGAATTTTATGTAGTTGGATCTGCATACATTTTTTTTTTCAAATTCTTATTAATTAATGGTCTTGGACTCTTGGGATTCCGATTTGATTGTTAATCAAATAATATCACTACATTAATTTAATATTAGTTTTTGTACAATAAAAAAAAAAGTTATAAGATTTTCAAATAGTGTAACTGTAAAACACGATTTTAGATAGGTAATTAATTAATTAAATTCTTAAATAGTGCTGTAAAATTATAATACCTATTATAGTATTATTCTATTTCATTTTCTACTATTATCATACAACATTCATATCATTCACAATATTATTTAAGATAATTGATAGGACTATTTTAAATCGTGACAATAAAATTGTGCATTATCACCTAAATATGGGTATTTATTATTTACTTTCTGCATAATATTATAATCATATTACCAGTCACGGACTTATCAAGGTATACCTTAGTCATTAGTGGTAATAAGGTATAATTATGTGGTGATACCATTTTAATTTTTAAATATTTATCTGTGAAATTGTGATTAAAATAAATTTGTCATAATATATTTCCAGTTTTTATTTATCATTCTTTGGTAATTCGGTATGTCCAATTAGTCGATAATTTAATGAATGATTAGTGGCCAGATTTATAGACGATACTTAGAAAAATCTTAGTATTATCTCAACTAAAACTAGAAATTGGTATTTATAAATCAGACTTATGATATTTACTAAGAATTAAGATTTACTAAGACTTATGATATTTACTAATAATTACTAAGAATTTTGGTATTTATAAATGGTACTTTGAATAATTTTAAGAAAAACTTGAGTAAAAATTAAGAAATATCTAAGGTACCTACTAACCATGCTTAACAGTCACTCAACAGACACAAAATTAATAACTTGGTATAAAATAGTTACTTTTATACTATTAAATTGTTGTTCGATCTTTTATAAAAAGTTGATAATTTTGTTTAATTTATTTTTTACTATCTTAAAATGGATATTAATTATCTTGATTATCTTGATGATGACTTAAACTATGATTGGCTAGAACAAACTATTCGTGTTCCTAAACGATATTTACGTGATATGCAAAACTCCATTGAAGGGTAAGTAATTTTGAAATATTTTTAATAATTCCCCTTTACAAATATTTATTAGTAAACATTACTAGATTTTCAGATTTGCAATTTTTCCAACGGTTTAGGTTTCCAAAATATATTGTGTTAGAAATAATTTTATCTATGATATAGGTACTTGGATAATATGGATTGCAATTTTGATAGACGTGGGTTAAAAATCGATAATATTACAAAAGTGTTAATTGCCCTACGTTTCTATGCAAGTGGAAATGACCAAGTATTTGAATGCAATTTAAATGAGTAATTATGGTAAGATTATTGTTAATTTAATTTTATTGTTTTATAGAGAGTCAATGGAGATACATTAGGATATTCACAAGCTTCGGTTTCTATTGTAGTTAAAGAAGTATCGGGATTACAAGCTAAATGTGGAAAAAATGGATTCGGTTTCCATCAAATTTACAAGACACTAAGGAACAATTTTATTTAATTGGTGAATTTCCTGGTGTAATTGGAGCTATAGATTGTACACATGTCCCTATTAAAAGTCCCGGAGGCAACAACGCAGAAATGTATAGAAATCGAAAAGGATGGATGTCATTAAATGTTCAAATTGTTTGTGGTCCTAAAATGCAAATTTTTTACATAGTCTGCATATCTTTTATCTATGCTGCAGATGGCCAGGTTCAAACTAGGTAATGTAAAGAAATCGTATTAGCAATATTTGATATTATTATCACAGATAAGACAGCTAATCTGTTTCAATAAAATATTAATTATGCTGATAACAATAAAATTATATATAATCTCCCGAACATTTTGCTTTTAAGAAATATTTTTACTTGAAATATTCTTAGAAAAATCTTAGCTAAGAAATAACTTAGTACCCTTTATAAATACCACTTGTGAGTTAGTGAAAAATATTTACTTGGCAAAGTTGAATATAAGTAAAATCTTAGTATCGTCTATAAATTTGGCCATAGGGTTCAAAGTACAATGGTAATCTACAATTAATTGTTATTTATTTTGTCACCTTGGGTTCAACGATATCAAATTTATGATTAGCTCCTGGTCTTTACAATTATAGAAAACATTTTGAAAATCACCAATACTTTGAGGAGCTGTATCTCGCAAACGAATCATTGAAAAATAAAAATGTTAACGCATAAATTCACAATAAAAATGGGATTGTTAATTCATGATATTTTTATTATATGTTACCATTTGAAAATCAAAAGTTGATAGTGGTTTCACTAATAAATATAAGGGTGAAAAAAATTAAAATATTATACGGTTTTAGAAAAACATAAACCTAGAGGTTTAAAAAAAAAAAATTCAAAAAAAGTTAATACTCTTCGAGATAATTAGTGTACCCACTTAAATGGATCACCCTGTATACATAGATTATTATAATATATCAAGTATCAACATTTTATAGCTAAGAAAAAATATTAAATGCACATTAGGTACCTATATATAAAAATTTAATTTAATTTAAAGAAAGGTAATATTTTACAAAGTATATAAGCAAAATAAATGTTCATTTGTGGTAAAATTGAATAATTAAACGTAACATTACAAAAGAAATTGATATACATAATATTAAGTAGGTAATAAATGTCAGTTATTGACCAAATCCTGAATTAGGAGAGTGTATGAGAATATTAGTCATTTTTACTTCATTTTTGTAAGGCCTCTTTGGTATTAAAGTCACCGGCTTCAAAAACTATAAATCCGGCTCTTTTTTCAACGTTTGAGTTCTTAAGTACTCAATTAATTACAAGTAATATTTTTTAGGTTATCATACATTTTAATGCGTTTTCTTAAATTTAAATTAAAATATTAAACAAGAATTGTAAGTTGTTATATTATGATCATTGATAAAGTTTCCTTCAGCTAGGTACTATATACAATTAAAAATGTAATATCTTTTCAAATTAACTACATTATATTTACTACCTATTCCTTATACAACAGATCAAATATAAAGATGAAATATCACCCAAAGAAATGTGTTGTTTTACTAGATGAAGTTTCTTTAACCCTCTGCCAGGCGCACCCATCAATATCACATGGTAATGCGCCCGGCGGCATTTTAAAAATTTTTAATTTTTTTTGTTTCAAGTCCAAATTTTGAACTTTTTACGGTTGATGGTATATATAAAATAATAGAACATATAAACAAAGTGTAAAATTTCTTTATTTTGATAACCCTTATTCAAGAAAAATAACAAAAAAAAATAATACAAACTTGTTGACTAAGAAATAATCTAGGTTAAAATAAACAAAAGTTTTTCAAACGCTATCTGCGTACTTATAAATAAAAATATATATGTTGAAAAATTAGTCATCATGATGATAAATCCTCATCTTCAAAACACTTACTGCATTCAGTTCTTTGTTGGCGATGATTTTTACAAACATTTTTATGAAATTTTTCACAAGCAGTGTTTGTCCTATTATTTTTATGTGACCCACATAAATAACAATATCCTTTTCGAGTATCTTTATTTATTTCAACAGTCGGTTTTTTGTAATCGGAAAGAAGAGTGAGAACATCTTTTGGAAGGCCCCAAACTGAGCTCGTTCTCTCCAATGTTCTTGCATCAACGATATAGCCAAAGTCTTCAGGTATTCCTTTCTTCTGATATTTTTTTCGAGATTATTTGCTAGATATATCTTATAGGAATTTATACCCGCAATGTCTAAGATTCTAAAAAATACCGTCATGGTCCAACGCCTAGTTTTTCTAGATGTTGAGTATGTTAAACACATTTGATCTACCGAATCGACACCTCCTTTTGTGCTATTGTAGTCCATAATGGTCTCAGGTTTATGGGTGTCTGGGTCGATGTCCACCGTGTCATGCATTGTTGACAAAATTATCACCCATTTTTTGGGTGGTACTCTTTTCGCCCAAAAATGACCCTTCGCTATTTGCCCACGTCTCTTTTTGCCCAACTATTTTAAAACTACTTTCCCTTTTCGCCCAAGAATATTTAATAGCACTTTCCGACCAAATTTTTATAATACACACTTTGGGAAACACTTACTTTAAATTATTTAATTATTTATAATATATTATAAATTTGTTATATTTAAATTATTTATTTGTGTTAATTAGTTTTATAAAGCCATTTAGCATTACCCAGAGAGTACCACGAGGAGGCGGCTTCTATTACTAGATATATGATAGACATAGATAATCAATGTCATCAAAATTTTGATGATTTATACTTTTGATAAAAATTTACTTATATTATATAAAAATTATATTAATGTACAAAAACACAATACATTTTTGCAGAGTAAGAGAAGTCACCTCCTCGTGGTACCCTCTGGGTGTAAATAGCTTTATAAAACTAATTAACACAAATAAATAAATTTAAATATGACAAATTTATTATTATGTTGGATACTAAGATAGTGAGATATAAATAATTTAAAGTAAGTGTTTCCCAAAGTGTGTATTATAAAAATTTGGTCGGAAAGTTCTATTAAATATTCTTGGGCGAAAAGGGAAAGTAGTTTTAAAATATTTGGGCAAAAAGCGAAGGGTCATTTTTGGGCGAACGGGGTCTTGCCACATTTTTTTTTCTTCGTCACAGCTTGTCAATGACATGTCATTTTGGAAACCTGACAAACTGGATCCAACTTGGCGGTTTTTTTCCGATATGAATTCGGGAGGTATTTCTCTTTTATTTCTTTTCATAGTGCCCAACAGTATCAATCCTACCTGTAACAGGTGTTCAGCCAGCGGATAGCTTGTGTAGTAGTTGTCAGTAGTTAGGTTGCGATTAGAATTCTTTATTGGTTCAACTAACCGTTTCACAATGTCAGTAGGTTTGTTAGAATTATTACCATATGGCCTAACCAATTGTACAGTAAAGTTCAAGGTGTAAAATGTTTTGCTGTCACAAAGTGCGTAATATTTGAGACCATATTTAGCCGGTTTTTGTGGCATATACTGGATGAACCCACACCTTCCACAAAATGCGACGAGCATTTCATCTATCGTGACAAACTCTCCGACACTATAGGAATTCTGACAATTTTCTCACGATCTTTCCTATCAGTTACATCATCCAAGCGAAGCGATCTGAGCAAAAATAAAAATTTCCTATAGCTGAAATTGGCCCTGAGAATCACTAATCCTGTATCATCTGACTGCCAGTGCTCAACTATGTCTGCACGATTACCTTTTTTTGATGGCGAGTAAAAAAAGAACACCTATCAATGCCATGATTTCGTTTCTAGAAGTAGAGTTGAAATCCCTCTGTCGTGGCTCTTCTCCCTTTTCTTCTCGTAATGCAACGTTTAGCGCAAGAGTTTTCATAATGTAAATATTTGTGTACGAACAATACGGTCAACCATATCAGGCGAGATAATTTTCGAAAAGGCATCAAGAGGAGTAAGTGTATTTTTAGCCGAACCCTTAGTTCCTGGGAACATTTTTACAATATTTTTGGCTCTGGTTCTAGGGTCTGGTTGTTTTCAATGCATCCGAGTTACTGATCCACAACGTTTCACCATCCTTACCCACATAAAAATAATAATCGTCATGACTTACATCACCAGCGGGTAGATTATTCTCAACAAATAATGATTGTTCAGAGTCACTGCTGACGTCATCCTGTTCAATAAATTCAGGTTCATAGTCAATGTCATCATCATTGTCGTCCTCTAAAAAATCCTCGTCAGAAAGCTCTTGCAAACACTGAAGAATATCATCGGATGCAGTGTACCTCTGTGCCCAGGAAAAAAAGAAATTTAAAAAATTAGATTCATGACGAATATAAAAATACCAGATTTACAATTATGAACTTAAATACCGAAATAAATAAACATATGAATATAACAAGGAATTTATGAAAATGTACAAAAAAAAAAATAATAAAAAATACTTACATTTTTGTGCGCACTGCGGTGTTTGTACCGCAATTACAAAGTATATTGATGAGCTCAGCGGTTCGCGTGCCGCAAACAGACACACGTCAACTTCAATACTGAATAGTCATAAAACGCGACATGACTGTTAGCCGACTCTTACGCCATCTTGTGTCTTATTCAATAACTTAAAGTTACCGTGCGTCTCAATCGGGTATACCGAGGTTTAAG